AGACTTAATTCCCGAGCGGCACCGGTAGCAAAAGCACCATATCGCCTTGCCCCATCCGAGACGCAAGAACTATCCGGACAACTTCAAGAACTTCTAGACAAAGGTTTATTCGACCAAAGTTCTTCACCTTGGGGAGCCCCAGTGTTATTCGTCAAAAAGAAAGATGGTTCGTTCCGAATGTGCATTGATTATAGAGAATTGAACAAGTTGACAATCAAGAATCGGTATCCCCTCCCTAGAATAGATGACTTGTTCGATCAGTTGCAGGGCCTTCCTACTTCTCAAAAATCGACCTTCGGTCAGGGTAATCATCAGCTAAGAATTCACGAAGAGGACATTCACAAAACAACATTTAAGAACCCGTTATGGACACTATGAGTTCCTAGACATGCCTTTGTACTAACGAACGCACCCGCTGTATTCATGGATTTTGATGAATAGGGTCTGTAGACCGTACCTAGACAGGTTTGTAATTGTATTTATCGATGACATACTTGTTTACTCGCAGACCAAAGAAGATCACAATAGACATCTAAAGCTAGTGTTGGAGCTGTTGAAGGAACAGAAATTGTATGCCAAGTTCACTAAGTGTGAATTTTGGATTCGGGAAGTACATTTTCTTGGTCATGTGATTGGTGAAAGAGGAATCCATGTAGATCCAGCTAAAATAGGAGCAATAGTTTTCACCCTTAAGATATGGAGGCATTATTTGTACGGAACCAAGTGAACCATTTATACCGATCACAAAAGCCTTCAGCATATCCTGGATCAGAAAATGTAAACATGCGGCAGTGAAGATGGGTAGAGTTGTTTAGTGATTATGATTGTGAGATACGATATCCACCCAGGGAAGGCTAACGTAGTAAGCCGACGCTCTTAGTAGGAAAGAAAGAGTGAAACCTTCCCATGTGAGAGCTTTGGGAATGGTAATTCAGACAAGCTGAAATCTCAATCATTAATGCCCAGCGAGAAAGCGTTATGCAAGGAAAATCTTCCAGGCGAAACTTTACATGGTTTGGAAGAAAGATTTGAAACCAAACCTGATGGAGTTCGTTATTTTAAAGACAGGGTCTGGATTCCAAGGGTTAATAACCTGAAATTCCCAATGGAAATGGGAGCAAATATCTATGGACTTTGTTACCAAACTTCCTAGAACTGCTAAAGGTCATGACTCAATTTGGGTCATAGTGGATCGACTGACGAAAATCTGCACACTTTCTCCCCATTCGAGAAGATTTCAAGATGGAAAAATTAGCCCAAATCTACATCGACAAAATTGTTTCTCTACATGGTGTACCCTTATCTATCATTTCTGATAGAGATAGTCGTTTTACATCTCGATTTTGGTGAATGTTACAGAGGGCACTAGGAACCAAGATAAATTTGAGCACAGCTTACCACCCTCAGACAGATGGGCAAACAGAGAGAACAATACAAACATTGGAAGACATGCTACGAGCGTGTGTCATTGAGTTCAAAGGAAATTTGGATACTCATTTACCCCTAATTGAGTTTTCCTACAATAACAATTACCACACGAGTATCCAATGTGCTCCATATGAAGCATTGTATGGACGCAAGTGTCGTTCGCCCTTATGCTGGACAGAAATCGGAGACAGACAATGACTAGAGTCGAACTTATCCAGGAAACATTCGACAAGTTGCTATCATCAAGGATAAGCTTAAAGCTGCTAGAGATCGTCAGAAAAGTTATGCGGATAATCGTCGAAAATCATTAGAATTCCAAGTAGGAGACAAGGTACTTTTAAAAGTGTCGCCTTGGAAAGGGCTTGTGCGTTTTGGTAAGAAAGGAAAACTAAGCTCGAGATATGTTGGACCCTTTGAAATCCTTGAAAGGATTGGTCCAGTAGCGTATAAACTCCAATTTCCCCAAGAGTTAAGCGCCATTCACGACACATTCACGTCTCCAACCTTAAGAAATGTCTAGCCGACGAAACATTGATAGTACCCCTGGAGGAAATTAAGATCAATGATATGCTGAACTTCGTTGAGGAACCGATAGAAATCCTTGACAGGGAGGTAAAACAACTTAAGCGGAGTAAGATCCCGATTGTGAAAGTTCGATGGAACTCAAAACGCGGGCCGGAGTACACCTGGGAGCGCGAGGACTTCATAAAGGAAAAGTATCCGCAACTTTTCCCTTGCGATGACAAGCGATGACATAGAATGAATTTCGGGACGAAATTCTTTTTAAGTGGGGAATACTGTGACAACTGCCAATTCAGGTCATTCTTGGACTCATGCATCTTTATAATAACCATTCATGCACAACATGGCATGACCTAGTAGTATAAATTAGGTCAAAAATCTTGCATAAACTAGGATCCAACTAAGGTCTAGGACTAATATACTTGATACTTACAATTCTAGTAAGTTGCTTAGCTACAATAGGAAATGCCAATACTATAATTAGAATAAAGCTTCAAGCTTTGTTATAATTGAAATAGGGTATAAAACTCTAAAAATAAATTAAAACATTTTAATTATACTTCAACATGTTGTTGAATATCAAACAATATTCCAAAAACCCTAAAGAGCCAAAAATCCAAAGTTATAAATTATAAAGCTTAAAAACTTTATAAAATTTGGCTATAAACTTCCTAATATCAAATTTATTAATCAAATTATGGATTATACCAAATGAACTAGAAATATAAATTACAAGTATTAATCATAAATTATTTGTTGAAAACAAGATTTTAAATAAATCAAATTGCTTAATAAACATTTTATAAAATGAATGTTTTTATATAAAATATAGGAGGGAAGTTTATAAAGTTTAAATTTAGGAGAGAGGAGGCCAAAATGCATGCAAAAACCGGCCATCACCTCTCCCCATGCCCTCTCTCTTCCCCAAAACACAATCATTAAGCTTAAACGCTTACTCCACCTCTTCCCTCTTCACTCTCTCACTTCACTCTCTTCACACACTTCACTCTCATTCCCTCTCTCTAAACTCATGAAAATCCTCTCATTTCTCTGAAAAATTTCGAGATTGTGAAGCCCTTGAAGTGTTCTTACTTCTCTCAAGGTCAAAACCAAGGTAAACAACAACATCTTCTTCCATAGTTTCATGGTTAAACCTCTTTTTCTTCTTAGTCTTCTCTACTTTTCGGATTATATGCCTTTCCATGGCTAGAAATCTTTATTCTCCCCTTGTGGTTTGTAGATTCTCACCATAAACACAATGCATGTGTAGAGATGGTGAAAATTCGGGATCAAACCCATGCAAGGAGTGGAAAAGATGCACATATGATCATGTGACATCAAAACCTAATATTTCATGTTCTTCTCCATTTCTTTTGTGTTCATGCATGAACAAAAAGCATTTAAACCATTTCTAGTACATCTTGGATGCTCATTCATTCCATTCATGTGTTAGAAATCGGGCCTACCAAAGACATGCATGTTCTTGTTGAAATACCCTAATAATGCACACAAGC